TCTCTCTCTCTCTCTCTCTCTCTCTCTCTCTCTCTCTCTCTCTCTCTCTCTCTCTCTCTACATGCACGCACGCGGGCGCGCGCGCGCGCACACACACACACACACGCACGCACGCACGCACGCACGCACGCACACACAGAACAATACGCAAGTACTAATGTAATTACTTCTTGGAAGTAATAATAATTTATTTCAAGTATTTCAAAAATTCATTTATATTCGCAATTCTATCATAATTTCATCAGAAGTTATTCAAAATATATTCTGAATCTCTTAACGAGAGAGAGAGAGAGAGAGAGAGAGAGAGAGAGAGAGAGAGAGAGAGAGAATTTAATACTTCAAGTTTATTAAATTAAAACAAATTTGATATGTTCATTATGAAAAATTCGTTTTTTCAATAAATCTTACATTTTTCAAAAGAAAATTAATTCTTATTTTGAGACATAATAAGTTCTTCTAAAATCTATTGAGTATATTTTAAGTTTATTATCAAGAAAATATTTTTTGTTAAAATAACCATTACTTAAAAGAAAGAAAAAATGAGCAATCATTTTTCTTAACAGTGGATTGATATTTTTCTGTGTGCATTAATAAATATATCTCTTTGTATTTTATAAATTATTAGAATCATTTGTATAATTTATTATTTCAAAGTTAACTATTTTAAGTGACGCAATTTTAAAATAATTACGAGATAATTCTTCTGTTGCTTGACAAAATGGCTATTGAATTTTACATCATGTTACTACTTTAACTAACATAAAATCCAGTTATTACGTATGGATAAGTTATAAAATCTTAGGCTAAAGCCGGTGCATTGAGATAAATAGCAAAAATTAATAAGCATAAAAAAGCGAGATTAATAAATTGTACGACAAATGCGCTACATTAAATATTTGTTATTTCATTAGTAACATGTATATAAATAAGTGTGCAGTTTATTTAAACCGTTTGTTGGGCCGTGTCAGTATCGAATGAAATACTATTAAAGACCGACATCCTTATGGGAATTCGCGTTCTTGTGAATATTGAAGTGATTAAGAGTTAAAAACTGATAATATTGTACTAATTTTATGATTTTGATTAATTTTATGACTTTTATGAAGTTTAATAGACATATTTATGCATATTTAGAACTCAATAATACTTGATTTTTCTTTAAAATTGTAATTTCAGTATTATGATCAAAGTTGATTATTAATAGAGATGATAACTGCAGAGAAAAAATTATTCTAATTTTTCGACAATATATAGGACATTAGAGCTTTATAAGTATGCATATTTATTTATGTACTAAAAAATGAATTTAATAATGTATAAACCAAATTAAATATTTATGTTAATAATAGCAGAAAGAAACCTAAGAGAAGACATGACGGTCTAAAACCTGTAACCATAAAATTCTGCTGCGTACTACTGCCCTCTGACAAAGTGAATGTAAACTCCACAGCAACGTCCACTTTTCTTAAGATACATTGTCCACTTTCAAGATTGGAGATGATAAATCGATATTTGGTAGCATGATTATATAAACCAAATATTGATTTATTATCTCTAGCAGCATTTCGCGGTTACAGGTTTTGGACCATGTCCTCTCTTAGGTTTCTCTCTGCTAGTATCTCGTCAGTGTCCAAGCCAGAGCTAATTGTGTGGAATGGTTACCATTGATTAACTACTTGATTACAGTAGTAATTTCGGAACGGACTATGGTAAATAAGGTAAGATTTTGGAACGCATTTCTGTGCAGTTTTGATATACGTGAGTCAAGTGAGTACACACGTATATGCATGTATACAGTATATAATCTTTCCGCGTTATTATTCATTTATAACTTGAAATTTTACTGATAAATAAGTTGTAGTGGAATTGTCATAATGTTTCGCACAGTGAGTATTACAGTCGTCATTCTATACAAATAAGATATGAAATTATTTTAGAATGAAATACATGAATAACAAAGTGCTTTGTGTTTTTTTTAGGTTATGTTACAAATACGCAACCAAGTTGCCCGGTTAAACAATGTACGATACTTTACACAAGAAATGAATGAGACTGCAAATATAGAAAAATGTAAGTATTCAATGCCATTAGGGAATTATTTGCAACTCTAAGAGAGAATATTTATGATTAAACAATTTTCATTTCTACTTTTATACAGATGATAGAAATTTAATGCTATTATTTTTAAGATGAAGTTTCCTTTTTATTCCTTTTATTATAGGTGTAAATAATGTAACATTACTTGGAAGAGTTGGAGCAGATCCTCAGAAACGTGGTTCTGAGCATCCAGTTGTATTATTTTCCCTTGCAACACATACAAATTATAAATACGAATCAGGTACATATATCAATTCTAACCTAACTTTGGAAAAGCATGCAATAATGTTATAGGAATCATTATATTGGAGTTCTCTTTATTTTCAGGTGAATTTATGCAAAGAACAGACTGGCACAAGATATGTGTTTTTAAGCCTAATTTAAGGGAATCTGTATATAAATATTTAAAGAAAGGTCAACGAATAATGATAAATGGTAGGATAAGCTACAGTGAATTTAAAGATGCAGAAGGAAAAAATGTTTTCGCTACATCTATCATAGCAGACGATATAATATTTTTCCAATAGAAAGTTTTACATGTAAACTATATATATTTTTCTTTTCAATAAAAAAAATTAAAAGATATTTTCTTTTATTCTACAATCTGTAGGCAGTTGAATAACGTAATGATGACTTGCCATAAAATGTATGTCTTTTTTGATGAATTTTAAACATCAAATGTTCTAAATTTAATATTGTTGATAGAATTCTTACTCTAATTAAATACTCTAATTAAATCTATAAACATTGGTGTGTCCAAATTAGATATATCAATGATTAGTGTCTAAAAAAAAAATTTATTTTTAACAGATTGTATTTTGGATGAGTTGAAAGAATAGTATACGTACCTTCTTAATAACTAAATAAGTCTATATTTACAACATTCATTATTTCATGTATTCTTCATATAACAACTTATATAATAAAACAGCTCTAATTTCTAGAGAATTTTACATGTTTTATACATGCGAAACGATATATAAACTTCTCCAATCTTAGATGTATATGCATTGTTTCGCACTACTATTATACCTTCACATATGCTGTTACATACATATAGAATACATACGTATAAATATATTTATATACTATATATACATATTTATATAAATATATTTATAGATATTTATTCATTTATATATAATTATTTATTATATATAAACATTTCTGTTTGTCCGACATTTGTCCATGTGAAAAT